GAACATACTTCGGATGTTCTCCCAGATTAGGTCCTTGAACCATTTCCTTAGTATCGGCCTGCGCCAGAATAGCTAGTTTGTCCTGGTACTCGCCAGGGAGATCGGACAGATCCATCTCGGGGTTTTTCGCCTGAAGAGTAAAAATGGACCTGATCATTCAGTCTGTAGCTCTGTTCTCCATCTTCGCTTCCTGTTGTTGCATTTCCACGGTCAGCGAGGCAATTCGGCCCTGTGCGAAGTGGAGCGCAGCCTCAAGCTCTGTTCGCTGCTTTTCAGTAGCCTCCCACAGATCGCCCCTTTCCTGCTCAGCTCGCATGGCTTGCTCGGAGGTATTTTGCAGTGCTTGATCTTTCTCACCAGCTTCCCTGGAAAGTCTGGCCACAGTTTGTTGGAGCTCCTTCACCTCTTTGCTGCGTTTGTCCAGCTCGGTCTTCTGAAAGTCCACTGTACAGCGAACAGTGTCCCTTTTAGACATGAACTGGTCTGCCTAAGCGATAGACGAGTCTCTGTCTGCTCGCGCGGCCTCTAGCTCCTATATAAGCCGTGTATTCTCCTCTCACAGCTTAACCAATTTCTCGGTAGACCCCAGCTGGGCCTTCTGTTCAGACATGTGCAGGGAAAGCAAAGCCTGCATGATAAGGGTAAAAGAGTTAGTCTACTTCCCTTCAAAAAAAAAAAAAAAAAAATGAAGAAGCGAACAAAGGTCCTCGTTCGGGACAGCTCGTTTACCTGGCTAAAAAGTTGGAACGATGTGGACAGTAGTTCGGCAGGACTTGAGGCCAGGAACTGCTCGAACGACCCCGCGAGTTCGCATTCCAACAATGTTAGGACCGCCGGCTACAAGTGGTCCAGGAGCTGGGTCATCGAGTCTAGCACAAGCGTTCCGACGCCCTCGGTAAGTAGAGCCTGTCCCGCAGGCTCTTTGCCTAGCCTCCTCCTAGGAACTGCGATCACAAGTCGTGATGGCTGACTGGTGGAAATGTCAGTCGCGCCTCTAAGCGGCCCTCCCGAGCTAAACGCTTGATAAGGCTGTGACCTCTTGGGCTGAATGCCAAACCTTCCTCTTCAGACTCTGTTTCCTCGGTCCGAATTTGCCGCCTCTTCTTAGGCCTCAAAACCGTAGTCTTCTGCTTCTAGCGAGTAGCCGAGGATGGAGGAGCTCCACAGGTCAAACTGGAGCACCCGCCTGTGCCCCTCCAACAGGGGGACCGCTGGGAGTAGCTCCAGTTGGCCCGACGGTATGCCTTTGGGGGAAAGAGAATTGTCTTGATCATGGTGATTTGAACACCTGAGGAGGCATGGTCGCTGCATGCGAACACCGTTAGTAAAATAGTTTGCTATAGGAAAAAATTATAAAGGACAGTCTAGGAGCTTACTCGGTAGGGGCTCTAAGGCTACGTACTCGTTGAAGAAGCCGTACCTCCATAAATTCTCGGTTGTCACAAGCAACCTCGCATCTTGACTTTCCTTGGGCAGAAAACCGAAGGAAACAATTCTGTCAGGGTCCGCGAGCAAGTTCAAACTGGTCGTTCTATTAACTGTCAAGGAAAATAAACAGCTCGTCAGCAAAGAACAAAAATCAAGTGACTTCAGAAGGAAAGAGAGCCTACTTGGATCCCGAAAGCGGCTGATGTTGTCATAATTAAAAAAGAAAAATTTTGTGTCTTATGGTCCCGCATTGCTCGGATAGCTATGTATCCTCGCTTGTATTGAATTTCGCCTGGACAAGTACCAAGAATCCTTATCCTTGCTCTTCTTTAAGACGTACGAGCAACTGAGCTCATTCGGCTCTCCCGACACGCGATGTACATGGCAATGGTGATCATGTACGTGTTCGGGATGAGCTGCATTGGTGCAATCCTGAAGTGATCGAGGACCGACCTAGTGAAAGGGTGGAAAGGGATCAACCCCCCACCCTTGAAGATATCTTCCGAGATCGTGGCCATCCCACTTGATGGATCCCGGGCAGTATGCACCCTGTCACAAAAAACGTCTACACTGACAGCGAACTGGTTCACCACCCTTTGCAGCTCGTCGGTGGTAAGCGCCCAGTAAATCTCTCGAGGGGGGCCCGCAGGGGCATCCTCTACAGGCGAGCTATCTCCTTCATCGGCTCTGTTCATTGGGGGTCCATTTTGCAATCTGCAAAAGTGACAAAAGGGTACCATTCAGTCTTCATACAGTTTTGTACGATGACGTGGAGGAAAGTTTTTCCTCCCTAAACCCATAAAAACCCTAATAAAATACTTAAAAGAGCCACCACCAATGGCTGCAACCTAACGGAGAGTATTCCATCCCTGATGGGCTACCGACAGACAGTTATCGCATGGTAACTGTCGAAAGCAAAAGACATTGAAGGTAAAAGAAGAGAACCATCTTTACCTCTAGGAATGAGAAAGATTGACTCTTTTGTTCCAAATATCGAGCGAATGCCACTCTGAAAGGCAAAGAACCAAAATTGGCAAAGGTTTCTTGCTTTCTGAGAAAGAAAATATTGTGGCTTTGCCTGAAGAGAGCTTGGGGTTTTTATAGTGAAGGAAATGGCGCTTTGGTTTCCCAAAATCAAACGACGTTTGGGCAGTAAATGCATCTGACCATTGATTGCGACCATGTGTCACAAATCAATGAGAAGAGTGACCGTCACGCCTTAGGAAACCAGATCGTCACCCCCTTCTGTTGAAACGCTCAAGCGATGGCACGTTTTCCCTCCAAATTTAATGCGCCCACAACTGCATTTAATGCTCTGGTAAGGAATGTCGTTTCAGTATAACTTGCATTTAATGCGCATAGCTAGCACTTATTGCACATAAGACAAGTCTGTCAGAGCAAAGAGCATTTCATTTAATGCACTCGCTGCAAAAGGTGCAACGGATAATATCTGAAGAGATCGTTAGCAGAAACACTCTTCGTCGATAGTTGCGAAGCAATGCGACTCCAAACTTTTCGTCAGTCGCGAGGCGATGTGACTCTTCGAGCTTCTTATCAGTTGCAAAGCGACGTGATTATTCGACCTCACCTCACGTCAATCGCGAAGTGATGTGACCGACTACGAAACAGGATAGCCATATCTTAAAAAGTTGCCAAGTGAGAACAAGTCGGGAATCCCTCAGGTCGGGATCATCACCAGCACTGGGTGACTATGACCAGGTTGCTGGCACTGAGGCTGTGCATCATCCTAGGTCGCTTATGGAAAGATGTCCTCCTGATCTCTTTTATAATCAGGTCGGATCGACCAACATCTCTTCAAACACATCAGATCGAGGCATTTATAGTTTCCAAGGTTCAATTCTCGAACATTAAAAACTAGAGGACTTCTGTTATGCCTGAAAATATAGGGCTGACACAAGGCTCAGTCAGTATAAAAAGTCAGAGCTTAGGTAGGCCCACAGCCAGTTAGAGGCAGCCACGTCACGTGGTGACAGAAGCAGCACACTCATGTTAGTAAAATGGGTGCGCGCCAGACTTGCCAGAAGCTGTAGTGACTCCACGTGTCCAATCCCTGCACTAAATCGCGTAAATCAATCTAGAAGGTGGGCAATATGACATAAAGAAAGATTTACACGGATAACCCCACCAACTCGCAATATTAGTAATGATAACCTTAATCCATTCCACTATAAATTGAGAGCTCTTCTCTCATTTAGGGGATTGGCTATTCTCTCTCTAAAATATACAACATCCACTCTCTTGTACAATCATTTGTAAGTCAATCCGCTAACGCGACCTGACCTCTATCATTAATACAAAAATCAGTGGACGTAGGATTTACTTCCTTAGCATCCGAACCACTTTAAACGCTGTTTTCCACTGTATTTATTCTCATTTTCACATTCACGTGTGTCTTCTAGAACTACTCAGTATTTCACACGTGCATTTGATTGTTGTCAAAATCACGCATTAACAGGCAACAAGACAGTTTAAACACATTCAACACCATTTACAATTTATCAAATAATTGTGTTGTTTTATTAAGGCTTTTATACCATAGGATTTTTCTTTAGTAAAATCAAATGCAATTATCTATAAGTGGTGGATATCCAATAGAGAGTGTTGTGGATCTCCACCACCCTGCGAGCTGAATTTGAATAGAGAGTGTTGTGGATCTCCACCACCCTGCGAGCTGAATTTGATTTGGTAAGGTGGGCGGTCCACCAGTATATAAACCCACACCCTTCATTTACAATATATATGCTTGGACCCAATTGAGATAATAACATGAGAAGAAAAATAGCACATCAACCCCTTAATTCTTCCTTTGTTTCTTAGTCCATTTACGTTATAAGTTGACATTTATTTTACAGCAGTACTATCTATTAATGTTAGATAAGTTTTTGTTCATTGTTCCAAATTTATCATTGACTTATAATTTTAATGAGTAAAATTAAAATACCAGAATAAAAAAAAATTTAAAGAATAAAAATGTAAACGATATAAATATAATATTATTAGATCATTTCTTTTTTTAATAGATCAAACTATCAAAGTTCTTTTTACAAATAGAAGATTCTTTAATTGCGGTTAAATGTTAATTCTTCTTTTATTCAATTAATTATCAATTGAACCGGTAAAGAGTTTATTCTTGTATAAAATTTTACATTTTTAATTAACCGTTGAATTCTTTTATATAAGTCCTATTACTAATATATTACGCTTAGCGTAACGTAATGCAACGTGAATAGATAATGCGTCAAACATAAAATATATACAAGCTTAAACGATTTTGATGATTATTTATAAAATAGTACTTTTTTTTAATCAAAGAAAGACATTTTAAATCTGACAACACTAAAAACAAAGCCGTCTAATTTTATTTTCCATAATATAACTGCATCTGCATCCCGTGTATTTATCATTTGGATTGTTCCATATTCTTTCAAAGCACAAGATGCCATTTACTACGCAACTCAGTTTTGCCGCCCATGCATTCTAACTATTTATAAGCGATTGTTAACACAAGCAGTCAGGCAACAAAATGAGGAATTTATCAGTGTTTAGTTTCAGCCTTTTGATGTTACTTCACTTTGGTGAAGCTAATAACCAGGCTGATAAACTTTACAGCTTGATTAAGTCGAAAAGGTCACTAAATAATCGTCCTCTTCCACAAATCTGGTCACAACTGCAAGCCACAAAAGACTATTCTCCATCGTTCATTGTGGCTTAGGATGGTTTCATGCAAGCTGACAAGATTGGTGCATTGCCTGGCCAACCTGATGGTGTGGATTTTGATCAGTATGGAGGGTATGTTACTGTTGATCCGCAGGCTGGAAAAGCACTCTTCTACTATTTCGTGGAGTCCCCACAAAATTCTTCCACCAATCCTTTCGTGTTGTGGCTCAATGGAGGTATTTTATGCTATATTAAGCTGCAGTGAGCCTGTGCTTTCATTTTACAACCAAGTAATGTATGTCATTTACATTGTTAATCATTGTCATAAAATACAATAGAAATAAAAAAAAGAATTTGAATTAACCAAAGACCAAAGAGAACATTTAAAATGAAAACAGGTGCGATTTTTAAAATACAGGACCAGGGTGTTCCTCGTTTGGATACGGAGCCATGAGAGAATTAGGACCCTTCAGAGTTAATACGGATGGTAAAACACTCTTCAGGAACAACTACGCATGGAATAATGGAAAGAAAATTAAAGCTTCACTTTTTATATATATACACATAATCCAAATTCCTTAACTGGTTCTTTACATTATGTTCATTATGATTCTCATAGAGGAGTTTGCACTTGAAAGTAATTAATTAATTTTCACTGTTATCTTTTTCGTACAAATTAGTATAAGATTGTGTTTACGGACTGGACAAACTCGAAGATTGGAATATTTATATGTGACTTTTGTCAGCCCCTTGTTTGGTTCATTATAGGAGAATCAAGAATGGAACTGGACTAGATACCCAGTCTTTATGTAGTCCCAAAAGATTGACACAATAAGAACCACGGGACTAACATTTAATAAATAACAATTTAAAATTAATTCTATTTAAAAAGTATACATTACTATTTATTGTCCAACACAATCCAATCATATGTAATTCTGTTAACTTCATACCAGGTTCCAAAAACTTACCTTAAGAAGCTAATTTATTTATGAAATATTGAATGCAGTGGCAAATGTGATTTTCCTGGAATCTCCAGCTGGTGTAGGGTTTTCATATTCTAATACGTCATCGGATTATGGGCGAACTGGTGACAAAAGTACTGCAAATGATGCTTACACTTTTCTGGTCAACTGGCTTGAAAGGTTCCCACAATATAAAAACAGGGACTTTTACATAGCTGGAGAGAGCTACGCCGGTCACTGTGTGCCTCAGCTTGGGTACACCATTCTCCTTAACAATGAAAACTCTAACCAAACTATCATTAAACTCAAAGGCATTGCAGTACGTAAGAAATTAGTTATCTTTACAATTATAATTAATCCAAATATATATTATTATTATTTGATATTGGACGTTATTTCAGATAGGTAATGCATGGATTGATGATGCTACAAATACAAAGGGGCTAATTGATTTTTTATGGACTCATGCTTTAAACTCAGACGAAACCAACAAGGACTTCCATATGCATTGTGACTTTGAGAATGACACCTCTTCTTCACAATGTGATACCTTAATTGACAAGGCCTTATTTGAGATGGGGGATATTGATTTTTATCATATTTATGCTCCAATATGCATTAAACTCGCGCTCAAAAATGGTTCCATTGGTTCGGTAAGTTATTCTACTGCATTTAGTTTATTAAAAAAAATATTTAATTTATAATATTTTAAGAAGAAAAATGTTTTATTCAGGTCCATGAATTTGACCCCTGCACTGACTACTACGTGGAGTCTTACCTAAATATCGAAGAGGTACAAACAGCCTTGCATGCAAAACCCACAAAATGGAGCGCATGCACCAGGTACTGAACATTCTATATGAAATTTAAGCATTAACAGAAAATTCATATCTTTTTTGGCAAAAAAGAAAAACAAAGAAAAAGTTGAGTTTAGATCTATTAAACCTTTATATTAAATATAAAAATTGTATGAGACGTTTTTCTTTTCAATTTTATAATATTATTTTCAGAAATGCATGTGATAGCAAAAATGGATGTGTTTGTGATTGTGGTTGCGGCAAATTTAACTGGACAGGTAGCCCAACTACCATCCTACCTATCATCAAAGATCTCATGGAAAGTGGTACGAGAGTTTGGATTTATAGGTGATTTTAATTCTTTCTTAAACAAATACACTCATCAAGCATAAATAAATTGACAATTAATTAATTTAATATTATCTTAATTTGCATTGCAGTGGCGATGTAGATGGACGAGTACCAATTACATCATCTAGATACTCAATAAATAGCCTCAACCTTCCCATCCAGACTGTTTGGCATCCTTGGTACATCAATGATGAGGTATTCTTCATTAACACTCAATTCCTTAGTTTTTCAATTATGGATGAATTAAATTAAATTAAATTAAATTCTCAATTATATATACTTGAATAATTTGCAGGTTGGAGGATACGTAGTAGAATATGAAGGAGTGACACTAGCTACAGTGAGAGGAGCAGGACATCTGGCTCCAAGCTATCAACCGGAGCGAGCTCTCCTTATGATCTCATCATTCCTTCAAGGAATTCTCCCTCCCTCTTCACCATAATTATTTACCTACTTTATAATCAGCAATAAGAGTTCATCTTTGCTAGCTTGCAATAAAAAAGAAAATTTATGTTCGTAAAATGAAAATAAATAGATTACAAAATTACTATAATTTAATTTCTATGGTGGACAATGTACAAGATTGTGCTTGCGTGAATTTCTTCTCTCACTTGCACGTATGGGACATGCTGGGGATGTTTCTCTCTTCTCATCTCCCTTTTATTTGCTTCAATGAATACTTAGGGGCAGGCAACAAAGCCTCCATGGCCCATGCATTCAGCAAACGAAATAATTTGGATCCCCCGGCCCCAACATTTTTTTTTTTTTTTAAATTATCAAATCTTCAATGGTATTCTAGAGTTGAAATTAGCTAATTAGAAGTAGCTGGATTAAAAGAAAGCAGTGTGTACGTTTGGTTCAGGGTCATAAAAGATAACATCGATAATCTATTTTTTAATTTGGCAATTATCATGTTTGGGTGTCAAATAATGAAAGATTCTGGTAATTGACCAATACCAATAGTGATTACTGTAGGTCATACAAGGGGTAATTCGATTACTATCTGAAAGAGTGATATTTTTTTATTACCAGGGTAATCTATTGTTCATACCAATTTTACCCTTAATTAATAAACATTTTGGAAACAAAAGCCCTCTTATGTCTATTAAATACCAATTAATCCAAATGTGCGGAATGACTTCTATAACCTCATAAATTAATTTTTTGGACAGAAATAGCCTCACTGTTTACATGAATAATATCTAAAATACCCCCAACCACCCAAGACGAGTATCGACTGTCGATAGTCGTCGGAACGCACGACTGGTCATATTTAGCTAGCCGTGCACCGATCTTGTCAGAAACGGCTAGATGGTCGTGGATTTGGCAGTTAAATTTTAAACTTTTGTTGATAGAGTGTTTTAGGTAAATTCTCAAATGTAGGGAGTTAAAAGTAATCATTTAAATAATAAAAATAATATTAAAAAAGAAGGGTAATTCTATAAAAACCCCTCCGAACCAAATATATTAATTATTTATACTTACCAATCTAACCAAACATATTAATGTAACATTCACTATTAATCTTTAAGGTAATCCATCTTATTGATAATCTTATTTTTTTAGTAATAAAGAATTCCCCGAATCAAATGCTACTAAAGAGTGGAGCAAAGCAAGAGAAAACTTTTGGAACAAAAGAAATTTTTTATTCATTAAACGAGATCATACATTTTACAATAATATTCCTTTTTATATAATCTTTCGGAATTAATTAATTTTAAATTTATTTATTTTATCATATTCACTACCTTAAGACAAAATCGGTACCTTCTTTCTTTAGGCTAGACCACTTCTTACCACATCAGCAAATTTTTCTTCTTTCATGCGAATACAACCATGTTTAGCCTAATATATTCAGTTGGCTAAATTTTCTTTACTAGCTCCCATATTGCATATTAAAAATTGGGAGACCGACATATTCCCACCCAAGGTATGGCAAAACGACACTTTCCCACCCTTCAAATTTCAAAATAACACTTTTTCACTGTTTGTTATATTCTGTTATATTTTTTGTTAATATTTTATTGAAAAGACGAAAATACCTTTAAATATTTAATTTTATAAATTTTTTTTATTTTTTAATTAATCCAAAAGTCAAATATTAAAAAGTCAAAAAAGAAAAAATAGTTAGCCTCACCTAAAGAGTTATGAGTAATGCTATATAATTGTTTAAAGTTAAATGATCTTAATATTTATTTATTTATAATATCATAAATATCCCATCACTATTATTCAATAATCTACTAAGTTTATAATGTTTTTCATTTTTACTAATTAACATAGAAAATCAATATTTCTAATTAATTAAATAAAAAAGGAAAAAAGATATGTTTATACTTGAAGTAATAAATAATTGAATAAAGATTTTGACTTAATTAAATTTTAATTTATAATAAACTAATTAAGAAATAAACTATTTGAGGATATTTTTAACTTTTCAATCAAATATTAACAGAAAACATTAAGATGAAGGGTGGAAAAGGTCATTTCGCCATACCTTGGTGGGAAAATGTTATTCTCCCTTCAAAATTTATACTCCGTTGTTTACATAATTTCTTCAACATTATTCAGTATTCACACACAAAAAGTCAAAATTCACTAATTTCGAGCACTTTTTTCCTTTGACTTTTTCTTTATCGACACAGATTCCTAAATTTTCATTAAATGTAATTTTTTTTGTCAATTGGATTATTATTTACCGTAAATAACTATATATTGAAGTTCAAACATATTTATTTTCCAATTGGTAGTTTTACTTATTATTCCTTGAACTTTTCCTTAATGAAATATAACTCATTCCCATCATAATTTTATATTTATCATTAAATACCTAAATTTAATATCTTCTCTGAAAATGAATGAATTTTGAAACAATATGTCTTTCTTTTAAAAAATAGTTATATAATCTTTTACATTAGTATCTTTCATCACTAAGATTTTACATTAAAATGTACAAAACGAAATTTTAATTTTCTGAGTGTGTAACAATTATAATTGGGTTCCCTTGCTACTAGTTAAAGTTGTACATATCACTCAGTGCTTTCAAAATGTAGAATTTATGCACCGAAGACCACTGTAAAACAAAATATTATAAATGAATAATATTTATATTTTAATAGTTATGTTTAGATAAATTCAATAGGGAACCTTATATTGTATTAGAGAGTGATAAATCTAAAAGATGGGACATGTATCTTTTAGATAAATTATTAAATTTTGTATTAATTGAAATTTTTATTAGCATAGACTTCACTCATTGTGGCATAGAGGGGATCATTTTGAAGGAAGAACTCCTTTAAGGAATGATGAAATCATGGTGAGTGAGCGCTCTGGTTGGTAGCTTGGAAGCAAATGTTCAGCTCCTCTCACTGTCACAAATGTTCAGCTCCTCTCACTGTCACAAATGTTCAGCTCCTCTCACTGTCACAAATGTCAATCCTTCGTACGCCTCCACATAAACTCCCACCTGTTTTCAATATCAGAATTTTATCATTGTTTCAAGAGGTGGAGCTACATATTTATTATTATTTTTTAAAACAGTATTTATTTATCGAAATACTCGTGATCTTAAAGTTTAAAAAAAAAAAAAAAAATTTGAGTCAAACTAAATAATATATATATATTTTTTTATATATCATGAATTCTAATTCTTGTTTCTTATCATGATAAGTGTTGTGTGTGATTTTTCCTTCAAGCTTGGAAAATTTTGAAGTTATAGCTCGATCCAAAATCTACTCATTCAATTGATTGTCTAACCTAGCATAAGCTCGTCGAGTTGTAGCTCGACCTAGCACAAACTAGTCGCGACCAATCCATACAATTGTTCAACCAGCTCATAGATAACTCTAGATCCCAGATATCTCGGAAGTGATCAAATCGAAAGCAATCTTGACGCAATCTCAGCGCTCAATTGTGAGAATATTGGAGTTGCATTTCAATCTTAATTGTAATCTCTTTATATTCGCTCTTTCCTTTGTATAGAACTTGTATATAAACCCCCTCCAACGATGAGGAAGGGGTTAGCAAATTATTCTAAGATTGTTATTGTAAGCTGTCACAGCAAATACAAAAACAGTGGACGTAGGCTCAAGAGTATAACTCGCTGAACCACTTCAAAAACTTTCTTGTCATTTGCTTTATGACATTTTCCGTTTACATATTGCTGGTTACCCGTAACCACGCACATATCGGTTCCGATCCCGATAAGGTTGATCAGATCACTTTAGCTGGGGTATTTTTGTATCAACATTTTGGCGTTAGAAGGAGGGCATTTGCCAAAACCTCAGAATTTCCAGCAACCAATCCCCGTGACTTGATCACTCTAGGCCCACAATGGTGCGTACAAGATCGAAAACCACCACTGGAAACCACAACAACGTGGAAACTACACACTAGGAGGTGCATCAAGACATCGTTGGGCATCGACCACTAGTGTTGCTGGTGCAGCAAGCCGCAAACCAACTGGGGGCAAGGACGTCAAATCCTGAGAATGGCCAATTGGTAGAGATGATCAGAACGATGGTCACATAAGCTATGCAACAGAATGTGGTTGTGATAAAAAATCAGCAACTAGCTCTTAGAATCCTGATCGACCGTGCTTCACAGACGTTATTCCGATAGGGCAGCACTCAGCAGCCAACCAATTTGGTTTGTTGGCACCAAGGCACGACTGACGACCCCAACATTGCTGAGAACACCCTGCACAAGAAAAAGAGACTTGCAGGCAAACTAACCTCCGGAGGCGACCGGGCAACCAACAGACTTACGAACTCACATGCTCGAGATAAGGCTAAACAAAGCCAGCCAGGGCAATTCTCACAATAAGACTTAGATTGGGTGCAAAAAAAGCTCGACGATCTAAAAGCCTGCCAGAACAATGCGGCGGAAGAGATAGTGAGCTTTCCCTTCACAAAGGAAGTTTGCCAGACCCCGCTTCCCTAGGGATTTAGGGTGCCAAAATGTATGTTCGACGGGAAAGGAGATCCCAAAGACCACCTTGACACTTTCAATGACCTGATGGAGTTGCACCAGGTCTATGACTTAACAAAGTACTGCTACTTTGCGGTCACATTGGTAGGGGATGCCAGGGGATGGTACAAAGGCGAACTCAATTAGCTCTTGGCAACAGTTCTCCTCGCTATATCTACAACAATTCTAAGCGAGGAGACAATTCGCAATGCCACTCAGTTACCTGAGCAATATTCATCAGGAAAGAGACGAAACACTGACCTTGCATCTGATGAGGTTCTCCCATGATGCTAAGAGACTACCCGCTCTAGAAAGGATGAAGGGGCTTCGGGTAGAAAAGATCGATAGAAGTATTGTTGATACCATCGAGACATTGGACACAACACTAACGAGTGTCGGGCTTTAAAGGAGGCCATCGAAGATCCAATCCAAAGGGGCCACCTAAAAGAATTTGTTAAGGAGGCACTAGCTCGT